GGACGTAGAGGGAACCTTGGAAAAGCGTCAATATGTGACGACTTGGGAGTGAGAATGTGTAGAAAAAACGGCTGCACCAAACAACATGAAATTTGGCAGGACTGTAGATGAGTCCGACCTACACTGCGCCAGCCAATAGTTTTACAATAGAACCCATATTGGAGGAGGGGGCTCCTTTCAAAGTGGGGGTGTCTGGACATGCAAAAATGCTTATAACTCAGAAACATAGGAGCTTCAGATTTCTTTTGTTGTTTAACTCTGATGAAGCTCTATCGATCAGGTCCACCAATCAGTGCCCCCCCAGGACCCCCAATTTATCTGAAAAAGGGGTATGTTATAGCTCAAAACTATTAAACATTGATAAGAACCGAGTTTTGAGTTCTGAATAAGCACTGGACCAAGACAAAGTTTTACAAAGTTTATTGTGCAGAGGTGAATGAACCAGGAAGTGCTTGGACCGGATTCTAGTCAGATCTAAACACAGGAAATTCAGATTAGTGGCAGAACGATATAGGAGGACTTTCCAAAGAATTAAAGCCACTAAGCTGTTTCCAGTTGAAGGACTCCAGACGGAAACTTTGATGGAAGGGTTTGCGTTCCAGTATGGTGAGGTGACATCACCGTAAGTTTGGTTGGAATGTTTGGGTCCAAAAGGCAAGTTCTGATAATCCGTGGTACAGGCGTGGGTCGAAATCCAGGTGGTCAGATGGCTGGAGGTACCGATCAGGGGTGAGGCAAAGAGGAGGAGTCCAAGAAGCAAGGCGTGAGTCATTACCGGTAAAGCAGATGGCAGGTATAATCCGTTAGGGGCTGAGGTGAGAATCGTTGAACCAGGGGAAAAGAACAAGGTCGGGATCAAGAGGCAAAAACGAGACATGGATGAAAACGCTGGAAAACCACAGGCAAGCTGATAATAATCTGGCAGTGAACTGGAGAGTGAGACTGGATTATGTATACTGCAGGAAACAGGTGAGTGAAATGAGCTTGATTAGGGTTTCTATGAAGGAAGGGGCGAGAGCAGGAGCTGGATGTGAGCTGTAAGGCTGGGAACAAGACTATGAGGAGAAACTGGAACATGAAATAAGATAATAAAACTAAACTGAGGCATGATCTGGGCAGTCAGGAACAGAATCATAACAAACATAGGAGCTTCAGATTTCTTTTGTTGTTTAGCTCTAATGAAGCTCTATCCATCAGGCCTACCAAACAGTGCCCCCCCCCCCAAACCCCCAATTTATAATTCTGAAAAGCGGGTATCTGGACATACAAAAATGGTCATAACTCAAAAACTATTAAACATAGGAGCTTCAGATTTCTTTTGTTGTTTAGCTCTGATGAGGGCCTATCCATCAGGTTAACCAATGCCTCCTGTAGGGGTCATCTCGAGTGAAGAAACAGGAGTACTGCCTCAAAGCAGGTCTCGCACAAGCCTGAGAGA